GCGTTTAGAGACGTTGTCCAGGTCATTGAGAACGTTAATTAGATCTAAAAGAAGTAAAATATAAACATTATGAAATAGAACATTTTCTAATTAGATTTGTCAAAGAAAGAGGGAGCCTAGTACGAAATTGACTATTCAGCAGACTTACCGAGGAGGCTGCTAGAGGAATGTATCCTAGCGATAAACGGCTGTACAATTGAAAGGTTGAGACGTTTGCTTGATTGTTGAACGCCAATCTGACCCAGAGTATAGGGATGTTCAGTAGGTTGCTTGTCTAAATAGCCTTCCAATGAAGGAAAGCTACCTGGAAATAAGTGAACCAAAAGGTCAGAGAACTCATAAAAGTGATCCGCTAGCATTGCGAGCTGACCAGGTACCACGTCACTGAAGATTCGAACATCTCCAACATAATCGCTACGGCAGCTATAGCCATCCCAGTGGCCAATATCATCACGGTCAATCGAAGAAGACCTGTTAGGCGCCAAGGGGCTGCAGGCAGAGATCCCTCGTCCAGCAAATAGAGAGCCAGTAGCTCGAAACCAAGGGGCCTGCTTCGCATAAGCATAGAGCAAACGGGCTAAGCGACCTGGGATGCCGTAGCGCCGAACTATGCAATGAAATCGAGCGGTCACGTTGATCAAGTTGGCCAATATCCGATCAATGCTAGAGCTGAGGGTTGGAAGGAGTTAGATAGTAGGTAAAAACAGAACATCAAGAGAATACTAAAGATGGTTCCATTATGTAATAAAGTATACCGTATAAATCAGTATATCATAAGCTATTATCAGTGTATTTGAAGGTATGAAGACCAAGATGGTGTGGCCTTTTGTGTGGTCGCAGTTTCCTTTCGTTGTATAGAAGTTGTTTGACCTTGTTTTCGCAACTTGCTCATATTGGTATGAAGACTTAGAGGAACGCACCTAGTCCGGAGTCCATTGTATGCATGATCATTTCCAAAGTCGGACCATGGACGTTGTACATTCCCAGACTTTTCTCCGGCATAGTAGTCGGCATCATCAGTGAGTCTCACCATTCGTAGCACCATATTACAACTCGTCAAAGAGACAAGTGAAGCCCATCCTTTGACCAAACGTGTGGTAAACAGTTGTGGTATCTCCGCTTCTGCCCTGAGCTATTGGCATTTCCTATATCCTCCTATCACGCCTTCGCTGTCACAATTTTTTTACTTGCTTAATTAAATGTGGTAGGGTGTGCCCTTTTAAGCGGCTTTCATGAGCACCCTCCGAACTCCACGCTGGCCTTCTCATCCCCTTCACCCTTGTGCTGGGAATTTTGACCAGAGTCCGTCATAGTGTTACGTAGTTCTTCCCTGTGTCCTATCAGTCTCCCTCTTTCTCCGTAGCATCCGTATGATATTTCCCAGCACAAGGGTGAAAGGGGTGATAACGACAGCGTGGAGTGTGAAGGGTTTTCATGAATCCTGCTCTAAGGAGCACATCACACTACATTAAAAATAAGAAAGGTAAAAATTTTGACAGGGAAGGCATGATAGGAGGATATAGGAAATGTGAATAGCCCAGGGCAGAAGAGGAGATACCAAAACTGTTTAGCACACGTTTAGGCAAAGGATGGGCTTCACTTGTCTCCTTGACGAGTTGTAATATGGTGCTACGAATGGCGAGACTCACTGATGATGCCGACTACGATTCTGGCGAAACGTCTGGGAATGTACCACGTTCACGGTCCGACTTTGGAAATGATCATACATACAATGGACTATGTGCGTTCTTCTAAGTCTTACTACCAATATGACCAAGTTGCGAAAACAAGGTCAAACAACTTCTATTATCAGTGTGCTTATAATTACCTGTACCACATTGCTTCTTCACTGAAGAGAGGTGGTGTAGAATGAGATGGACAGGTAGTAGAAACCTGATAATGTTTTTGATCATTTCGGCGTTGTCTCCACCACCACCAACCATCAGGCGGAGTCATGTCGGAGGTTGCTGCATTCAGATCAATACCAGCAAGAAGCTCGAGCAATCGAAGCAGAGTGAAGAAGAACTCATGATAGCGCTTAGCTTTGAACTGGCCATACAAATGTAAAATTTGGTGGTACTGTTGCGCGCCGGCAGAAGCATTTCGACCATTACCATCAAGACCAGAAAAAGCTAAATTGGGTGCACCAGATGGGCCAGATGTGATGAGGGTTTGGCTCAGATCAAGGCGGCCCTCACTAAGACCAGCTGCAGATGGTAAAAGACGTAAGCAAGCGCGTGGATGGTGTACAGCTAGAGCATGACAAGCAAGTACTGAAGTGTGTTGAACTTCGGGATTGCTGCTCATCAACCCGACTAACAAAGAAGGGCCAAGGCGATCGACCTGGAGTAAAAAAAATTCAAAAGAGGAATAATGCGGGCAGGCGTCTGAAAGTATCTCAATGATACTAAAAAAAATCCAAAGTAGGTGTGAGCTAAGACGGGTATGCTTTGGTATAGTCGCCGTCTCTTTTCGTTGAATAGAAG